TCCACGCTTTCGTGCAGCATCACCAATAACCCTTATAAGGGAGTCCAACAATGTTGCCCATGCCACACCACCCTTGGCTACAGGACCGGYYGCCCAGTCACCCAACTCRAGCCCTAGTCCAAGTCCACCAGAACTTCATCTCAGCTTAGCATCAAGCACAGAAATGACTGACTCTGTTTTCTCTCAGGGGAAGGAGCGAGGGTACCCTTTGTCATTTCGGCAGGAGTTTGAGAGGAGGCAGTCTTCTATGGATGACGAGGAGGTAGGGGAAAACTTTATCAAAATAGCTGTAGCTCTTATATCATTATGTCTTGGTTTTGTTAATTTAAATGTACAATCATATTATTTGTAAAATTTCCCATTTATTCAATTGTTTATTTATTTATTAATCCATTCATTTAATCATCCATTCATTCATTTACCAACCCATTTGCTCATTCATTCAGTCAACATTTTTTTCATATTATTTCTCATTTTGACTGCATTCCAGAAGCTTGAGCATGAGATCACCCATTTGTCCATCCATCCATCCATCCCCCATCTATCTATTCATTCATTTATTTTTCAACCATTCATTTCATTTCTCAGATGTTTGACAGCATGAGCATCACATCTGGATTTTCTACTGCTAGCGTCCGTGACAAGGAGCTAGTCGTAATTGACACAATACGTCACTGGCTCCACCTTTCCTTGAGTAAAACGTTTCGCAGTTGGCTGAAATACACTCGYCAAAAGAAGCTACTCCGTGAGCTTCTGTATTTCGCCAAAGAGAAAAAGTCAAATCAGATTATAAGTCAAACCTTTAAACACTGGAGAAGGGAATTGTTCACCACTGTTGCATCACGGCAGTTTTGGGTAAGTGGCACTGAGCTAGGAAGCTAGGTAGCTGTGCCTTTACATTGAAGAGAGACGACCGTTGAGCGTGCAATGATAGATACCTGTGAATAATTGTCTGTAGGTGTGAAAGAAGGTTTCTATCATTACACGGTCAATGTCAAGCTTCTATGCAAAGGCACGACTACCTTTCAAGGTGGCGCATGGAACCGTGAAGAAGACTATTGCATTACTGTCTGTGCTGATGGATAAGTTAATGAATTTTTGCAGTAACATTATAAATTTTACTAAATCATTCAATTTCTAGCTCAACACMACAAAGTTGCGATGTCTAAGAGCCTGGCATTCTTATGTTGAACACCGTCAGCTGAGGGAGAAGTCATTCAACTCAGCACAAACACTAAACAGGAACATACTGCTGAAGAGATTCTTTAATGCTTGGAGAACAAAGGTAGCTCATTCATGCTTGTTTTCAGAGTTCCACCTATAACTGGGCAAGAAACGGCACTTTCATTCCGTGACGTTATGGGTGATGGCTCTTTAATCATCTTCATTTGGTCTCAATACCAGTCAATGTTTCCATGTCTGTGCCTTGTGATGTTGTGTTGTTTGTTGGTATAGACTTGAATTTTAACTTGAACTTGTTGTGTTCCTTCATGCCTTTGCGCTATCTTATGAAATCCATATATGATTAAAACCTTTGCTTATAATAACTATTTCCCAGCTACCCAAGTAACAATAATGATAAGTGAGCTAATATTTTATGAATAATGTTAATTATTTAGTGATTGTCCACCATTGATTGTTGAATTTTGAGTGTTTTATTCTCTTCACTAGTACACAGCCAAGATGAGGCTACAGACTATCGTTGGACAGTGGCAGAAGAAAGCCATTGGTAAGGAATAGATAATACTTAATATAGTATTTTTCATACCTTTAACATAACAGGAGATATTTCAATATGTGAGCTACTAGTCAATGTCTATAATATAAAACAGAACTTTGTGAAAAATATGTCAATTTATACACTAAAAATGGTAAAATACTTATAGATGTTATAGACCACGTATTTGTGAAAAAACTTTATTTCTTCATGAAATAATTATAATATGAGCATTGTAGCTCAATATCTATAATGAAAAACATATGAAAAAATATAAATTATGCACTATAAAAAGGTAAAATACTTACAGAGGTTTCAGTAATGTCCTCTGATAAGAGAACAACTTACAATTCTTTTCATGACTATTGATGTCCATGATTTACAGTGACAGAGAAGCACAAAGCCATTGGAGAGAAGATCCAATCACAACACAGTCAAAGAGACTTGCGTCAAAGATTTCATTATTGGGTTCTTATGACACGCAAGAGCCAAGAAGCACGGCAGTTTTATCTTGAACGATTGCTTCCCAGGTAATACAGTGTTTTTATGCACACTTTGATCATTATTTTTAATTATACAGTTGACTCTCTTTGGACAACCACTCTCGTAAGTGAACATCTCCCTTAAACGACCACCTTTTAAATTTCCCGTTATAATTGTTTCCCATATAAACTCTGTATAAAAACCTCTCTCGTAAGCGACCATCTCTCGTAAACGACCACTTTTTCCTGATCGAGGTGGTCACTTACAAGAGAGTTGACTGTAATTATAGTGTCTTATTATAATTTGTGATCTTCAACATGTTATAACACTTGGTCACAACACGTCCTTTCATGTTGTTAAAATCACTCAAACTATTAAATTTACAAACTATATACTCTGATCTAGAGCAATGACAAAATGTCCCAAAACTGAATTTTATTCCATAGAGTCTCTCTCTCCTTGCTCACTGATGACTTCAGCAACGCTTCAGAATGACATTTCCCTGTAAAATTCTGTCATCAACCAAGAGTAAACAGTGAGCGAGACTTACATGGAGCAAGTCTACATTTAAAAACAAATATTAACAGGAAATCACTGTACTTTTTCAGAACTTTCATAGCCTGGCATCAATATTCCTGCACACATTCTAATAACTGCAAGAAGAGTGCATGGTTCAAGGACCAGAGAGTGTTAAACATGGCATTCAGAGAATGGAAAAAAAGATTTGAAGATCAACATAAAGCACATGAATTCATTGAGGTTGGTGGAAACTCTCCTTTCAGTAAATTACAAACTTTATTTCTAAAGACTAAMTAAAAAACTTCCCAGTTTACTTTTAAATGTTAATTTGATTTTTTTAACTAGACTAGGGAAATTGAGTTATCCATTGAAATACTGAAGACTTGGCATGAATGGGCTACAGGTAGATTTATTACTTAATCTTGACTTCTCATTTGCTTAATATATTGTAACTTCTCTTTCCCTCTCTTTTGTGTTCTTCTTTCTCATTTTCCATCTCTTTCATTTCTTTTCTTATGTGATCTTCCCCATCCCTTCTCTTTCCTTCCCTTTCCTACCT